TCAGTGGACACGTGAAGGAAGAAAATGTGAAACTCGTGCATGTGACAAGTTTAGATCAAGTTGCTTATATCTTCATGAAGGTCATTGCCTACGGTATTATTCAATAATTGTATGAAGCTAATAGAAATGAAAGATAAAGAAGCTCTTACTCAAAAGGGGTAGTCGACGAGTCGAGTATGTGACCAATCTCAATCGAGAGATTTAATTTTACAGGAAGTTTTGTTGAATAAAATTAAATAAAAAATAATAAATTTAAATATTAGATGGAATATTTTGATTTTGTAAATATCTTATGCAGTTAATATTACAATTTTATATCATTATTATTTTGATTCTAAATAGTTAATATTAAGATTTTAAAAAATTCATTATAAACTAATAAATACTTAACTAATTGTATCATTCAGTTTTACATCCCACATGAAGCAATAACAATTAGGTTCTTTCGTCTATTTGCTATCATTTTTTAGCTCATCCAAAAAGTGGATCTAGGGAACAAGAGGACGTGAAAATCAACGACCAGTAGTTCCAAAGGTCTTAACAAAGCGCCACATGATATTAGATGCTCTAAATTTGTACTAGATGTCCTACTAATTTCCAAAATTTTGAAAAAAAAAATGATGTTTTTGAGACATCTGAATAACTGAGAAAGTAGCTATTAAGATTACAAATGATGATGAAAAAGTTTTATAGAAGATATTGCCACCAATGCTTCATTGCACTAGTGATGGGTATATATATATATATATATATATATATATATATATATATATATATATATATATATATATATATATATATATATATATATGATGGGATGGCCAAATGGGAGGAAAACAATAATAGGGCAAGAATTGGCACAATAACTATGGTATGTTTTAATGCATCCAATGATTGTTGAGCCTACTATTGGAAATTATCTTTCTTAAGAATTGTGGTAAGTGGTTATGCCAAGATAACATAATTTAGATAAAATTGTGATAGAAATATGTAACGTCGGGAAACCCATATAAGCCTTTAATTGTGGTAGGAGTTGGACAATAAACAAAAATAAAATAAAATAAGCAAAAGTTTATTACATCTTAATAGTTTTGAAAGTTCATTTAAACTTAAGTTTAGGCTGGAGAGTAAACAACACATGAGTGAATTACATTAAAAATTGATAGTTGCTTAAAAATACTAAATACTAAATCCTAAAATATATCAAATTCTTACTGTTTTAAATTTAGTTTAAATTTAAATTAAATGGCCAAATTTATTCCACTCATTTAAGTATTTTATTTCATTTCTCTCTTTATAATTTTTTATTAGATCTTTCTTACACTGTTTTGTAAACAAGAAATGCATTGTTTAAAATTATTCAGGTTGTCAACACAAATAACTTAACCCAGCCTTCACCTATCATACAAGTAAAAGGAAATTGATAATTCAATTTATCTTTTATTTTAAAACATATCATAATTTTTTGTTTAATCTAAATTTATGTTAAGTCAATGAACTACCAAATCAATTTTAACCTTATTAAATATTAAAAAAATTATTAACATCAAATTAATTAATTAAAAAATATTTTTAAAGTTAAATTATATTAATAAAATTATTTTTTATTTTATATATACTTATTTAATATATAAATTATAAATAAATTATTCATTTAATCTAAAGAGTTAAAAATATATTATTCATTTAAATCACAATTTTTTTAAATTATTTCTCATCACTTTCGAATTAATCCATCATCATATTGAACCTACTTTAACACCCTTACAAATTCTCCTTCAGTCTTTTTAAATACTTTTCTCTCTCTACTTCTTAATTTGTTAATGTGCTTTGTAAAAAACAACACATGGTTAAAATTTATTAAAAACTACGAAAACATTAAAGAAACTCTTTAAATGAGACCTACATGAATTTATGATTTTCAATTATTTTTCATCAATAATAAAGAATGTGTTCAATGAACTCGCCATCACTGTACATATACGCATGGTAACAATTTTAACAAAAATGAAAAACAATGAAAAATTGTGTTTATTAAAAACAAATATCGTGTTGTCATTCCTGATTGTACAGCACGACAGAAACTAATGATTTCATTTCATTTGCATTATCATTTGTTAGGAAATCATTGTAATAAACCAAATATGAAGCTTGATTCCTCAGGGGTCTCATAATTTTTGTTTCTATCTTCTACATGCCCATGCTTGCAAATTTGTTATATTTTCTATTCAAACAACAACTGGCTTTATCCTGTATGAAACATTGCATTCAGGAGAAGAAAGTAGACCCAACCAAATAAGGAGATGAATAATTGGTGAATACAAGTTGCCATCTGATGTTGTATATTTTTTTGCAGACACGAAAAGAAAAAGATATCTAAACAAGCTATTCATCATAATATTTTATTTTGGTCTCATCTATTGTTAATGGGTTTCTTAGATTGAACCTCTTTCTGCTAATTAAACCTAATCTACATCAACTTGTGTAACCCTATTCCGTGTTCACTAGAGGATTTAAATGTATATCGGCTAAATTCGGTGAATATACGAGTGAGATTCATGATAGTATAGTCATAAAAGATACTGACAAGTATTACAGGCGCGGAAACACTGCATGTCATACCCCATAATGAGTGATATTGTTTTGGTACATTGTCCCATTTAGTTGTTCATTCGTTGTGATACAAAGGCTGGTCAAAAGACTGAGAATAACGGTGCCTTTTGTTGAATCAATCACCATTTTAATCTCTGAAAGTGTATAATACTATCACATTAGTCTCAAACTTAAGAAGTCCTTAAAAGTGCAATCCGTCAACCACATCAGTCTGAAGTTTAAAAACAATTTTGACTTGAGTATATAACATATGATCTGGAAACGAAATGACAATAAATAGCTAACTTAGGAGCTTATATGTAAGTCACGTAACAGCTAAAAATTTCAAGAACTTCCTTGGAATTTTCAGGAACGAATGTGACAAACAGCATATACTTTCGGAAACAAAAATTGTGAGAGTAATACTTCACATTAGACAATGCAATTGATGCAACTACCCCTCGTAAAGAATCAGAGAACAGAAATTCCCTATAATCAGACATCTGGTTTGGCATATCATTGTTTTTTTCGTTCTTTTGATAATCTGAAACAAACATACAAAATCACGGGAAAACAAGGATGATCAGAGATAGAACAGAACACTCACATTTGGTGGGGGCGGCAGAATAGAAATCAACACAACAATTAAAAGGATGAATATAAGGATAATTTAGCCTATATCTAAAGCCTAAGCTATGATACCAAATGATGTGATTGGGCAGGAAGACGGATCATCTGGAAATGCAAGTTTGAGAATTGGTAATCTTTTTGGTATTTTTAGGTTTTATAAGAGGATATTGACACCACACTCGTGATTTGGGTAAGAAGGAGTGTGATAAGACATAGATTGATCATCACAAATTAATTTGATAAGATCCGGTAGACAACACAAGTGTGGGAAGCCCCTTATAACTCAGAATCAGTTCAATTCAGAACTGGAGAGAATACTCTCAAAATACTCAAGCTATTACTTAGCAAAATTTAGGTTCCCCTTTCGATAATTTTCAAATACATATGCCAGGGTTTTAATTATTTTCAATGCCCTATTACTAACAAGTATATTGAGATTCATAATCTCCTAAGGTGCACCAAAAAGCCAAAAGTTAACCAATTAACTTAATGGGTCTATTCTTATGACTCAGGCTACATTCATTAGAGACTTACTGATCAAGGCAACATGCTTGAATCCAAGACGATTTCATCTCCTGTGGTATCAAATTGCAAGTTGTCTAAACATGGTTCAGATCTGTTACAAGACCCTTCTTTCTACATGTCTATTGTTGGTGCATTTCAGTATGTTACTTTTACTCATCCTTAATTAAGTTTTGCTGTCAAATTAACAATGTATGCCAGTTTATGGCTTCTCCTCTAAAATCCCATTGGGCTGCAGTTAAAAGAATATTGAGATATCTCAAAGGGTCCTTACACTGTGATCTCATTCATCCTGCCATTTTTATTAACCTCTAGTTATTAGAGCTTTTTGTGATGGAGATAGGGCAACAGATCGTGATGACAGGAGGTCTACTTCAGGGGCTGCCACTTATCTGGGACCTAATTTAGTTTCATGGTGATCAAGAAAACAAACAGTGGTTTCAAAATCTAGTAACAAAGCTGTATATCGAAGTTTAGCTCATGTCAGAGCTGACATATTATGAATACAAACTCTTCTAAAGGACCTTTCAGTTCCTCATTATACTACTAATGTTCTGTGTGACAATCTAAGTGTTGTTAATTTATCTCACAATCCTTTTCTTCATGCCAGAACTAAGCACATGGAGCTTGATGTTTTCTTTGTTAGAGAAAAGGTTACTAAAATGCAACTTGTTGTTCAACAGACTTTAGGTTAAGACCAGTGGGCGGATCTTCTAACCAAGCCGTTGTCTCCTACAAGATTTTCCTTTCTTGGGGACAAACTCTACCTAACTGAAATACATTTGGTTTCTCAGCAGCTTGAGTTTGTGAGGAGTGTGAGTGTAATACTTCAGCTAGACAATGTGATACAGACCCTAATCCAAATGGGCATAATGGGCCATTTATCCAAAAGCTAATACACGTAGATGGGGACGGGTGTATGTGAGGAAGAAGCCTAGAAAGGGTGACGTGGTAAACTAAGGGAAAGAGGTTAGTTAGAGAGAGAAAAAGGGGGAATTTTCATTGTGTTTAGAATCAGGTGTAGGGACCTTTTGAGGGGATTGGGTTGAGTTGCTTGCTTTGGGTAGAGGGCCTTTGTGGGTGCTTTGAAGGAGTTTGTGCTCTGGACAGTAGGATTTCTCTTCCTTCTATATTTCTTGCTTTCAATCAAATAGAATCATTCCATTGTTCATTACATTTATTGTGTATTCTCTATTGTACGGTGTTGAGTCTCTATTAATTGGTCCGACCTACTAGATACTCATCTGGCAGAGAGAATGCCTCCCAGGAAGAACAACGCACAAGAGGAAGAAACATCTTATTCAAAAGATACGAGAGTGGAATATGTGGCTAGAGAACTTACCAAATTGAAGGTGGTGGTTGACGAACTAGTGAATCAATCTCTGCAGAACCAAATGCAGATGGAGACGATGCATCTAGAAACAACAGAAAACCAATCAAAGCTATTTAATGTCATGTCAAGTCTTAAGAAAAACAATGAAGAAGAGGAAGGAGAGGAGTCGATTGGGCCGAAGAAATCAAGAACAAAGGGACGTAAATATGGAGGAACATCGAATATGAAACCACTCGAAGGGGATGCATTGAACAAATTTCGTCAATCCATGAAAAAAATAACGCTACCTTCATTCTATGGCGAAGATCCTACAGGTTGGAGTGCTCGCATAGAAATTTATTTCAATGTCCAAAAGACGAGTGAGGCAATACAAGTGAATCTTGCTCAAGTTTGTATGGAAGGAGGAACAATACACTTCTTCCACTCTCTCTTGAACGATTTTGAAGATCTAAAACGAGAGATGCTGGAGAGATAAGAAGGTAGAGGTGAGGGAAGCATATACGATCAACTAGCATCGTTATGTCAGACGGGGAGCATGGACGACTACATTCGAAACTTTGATCGCTCAAGTACCAAAGATGCATGAGGATGAGTATTTTTCTTATCTCACCAAGGACTCAAGGATGACAACAGAGCAAGAATGAGGAGTGTCTACGTGGCGAGTCCTCTCACACGAGGTAGAATGATGAGCGTGGGCAAAGTCATAGACACTGAATTATCTGGGTGTAAGAGATTGTGGCATGGAAAGGGACACATGGAGATGGGAAAACCTATTTGGGGAATCAGCCCGTTTTCAGTATCCGCCCCACATCAGAATAGTGGGAGTTGGGGGGAAATGGGCTAGGCCCAATTGCAAAAAGTAGAAGGGGGTAACAAGAAAACATGGACCAAGAAACAGAGGTGTACACCATCTGTCTTATCAAGACCTCTTGGATAGGAAACAACATGGGTTGTGTTACAAGTGTGGGGTCCAACAATGCCTAGCTAAACAACTTCGAGTCGTTTTGATGGATGATGACTTAAGAATCGAATGTGAATATGACGAGACACAAACAAGAGAGAGTTTCGGTGAAAAAGAGATAGAATCAGACGGAGCTTGCACTACTATCAGCTTGCAGGCAATGATGAAAGGAGAGGATCCTCCAAGAACGACGAAGATATGAGGAAAGGTGGGCGAGTTCCCTTTATTGATTCTGGTCGATAGTGGTGCATCTCACAATTTTGTTTCTTGTAAATTGGTTGACGTTCTAGGATGGAGTTGGGAAAAAACACAAAGCATGAAGATTTTAATGGGAGATGGTCCTCGAACTAAGACACAAGGAGTATGTAGAGGAATCAAAGTGGAGTTTGATGAAAGGGAATTCTTGATTGATGCAATTTTGTTTGATCTTTAAGATATGGACATGATTCTGGGTATGGCATGGCTTACTAGATCAGGAGAAATAGTGGTGGACTGAAAGAAACAAGTGATGAAAATAACCACTCCATAGGGAACTAAAATGTTGAGAGGAGTTCCTCGGGAAGAGTCATTGATAATGGCAATTTTTGGGTTGTTGGAAGAAAGCAAAAAGCAAGGGGAACAGAGACTCACATTAGAGCAAAAGCGTGCGTTGGAGGCAATACTACAATACTACGGGGATTTGAGGATGTATTTGAGGAACCTAAAGGATTACCACCAATGCGTGCTAAAGAACTTATCAACGGAAGACCATATAGGTATCCTTATCAAAAAAAAATGAAATTTAGCACTTATCAACGTAAGGCCATATAGGTATCCTTATCATAAAAAAAAAAATGAAATTGAAAGGCAAGTGAGGGAGCTGATAGAGGTGGGCCATGTTAGGCCCAATCAACGTTCATTTTCCAGCCCAGTTATTTTGGTGAAAAAGAAAAACAATAAGTGACGTATGTGTGTTGATTACAGGGCTTTGAACAAGGCTACAACGCTAGATAAGTTCCCTATTCCAGTAATTGAAGAACTACTGAATGAGCTGCATGGGACTTGTTATTTTTCAAAGTTGGATCTTCGTTCTGGGTACCATCAATACTGGATGAATCTCTATTACAATGTAATTATTGAGTTGATTAGATTGTTAGAACTGTTGGTTTCTGTTCTGTTTAGAGGAACTGTTTGTGGGCATTTACCATAGTTACTTTTTTGGTTAATATAACTGTTTTAGTATGACAGTTATAACTAACTTGTAACTGGGCTCTGAATATATAGTTTCTGTAAACAGAGTCTCAGCATCTTTTTGTATCTTTACACTTTACAGAAAAAAAAAATCAGTTTATCACTGCTTTTCTATAAAAAATGGTGATTTACTCTCTTTTATTAGCATGTTATTTGTCAGTACAACAGTAAAGCATCGTTGAATCTAGAAACCTTGAAATGAGACAACCTCTTCTCTGCTCTATGTGTTTGAATGCCAAAAATAAATAAATAAATAAAAATATGCACCTGATCTTTAGACTCTATTTGTCTTTGTTAGCTACAAGATTGGGGAGAGAACAAAAGAAGTCTGAATATATGTCCACCCATTGGAAAGATTCAGAAGTTTCTACCTCTAGACATTTTGGATCCCCGTCATCTAGAAGAAGCAACTTGCTCAAGGTTGAACACAGGAGACTGTGTCAGGTGCATATTGTGCCTGCCTCAGCTTCCAAACCAGTGAGCAACCTGATAATAATTTACTGCTGATAATCAGCCTTAGCTTAAATATGTAGTTTGTTTACAATTGGTAGAAATATGGGAGAAAACTATCTTAGACTTGCCTACTTAGTTAGCAACAAAAAACTCACATCAATTCTAATCTCCAAGCTACGATAATGATTTGGTAGATTAAAGAAAGAAGTAGTGCCTAACACCAATGATAATGCTGACAGTAATTATCAAAATAAAAATTACTCTGAAACTATATGAATTAGTGAAAATTGTTCAATAGTAAGTGTTTATATTATGAAATGCATAGATAGAATAAAATAAGTGATGCTAGTCCAACAGAACCAGGAAAGATTTTAAGAGTACAGTTGTTTCCTCATAAAACAAGGAAGCATCTGTCCAGGGGCCAATATCTAATAAAGAGAAGTGAGATCATGACTATGGTTGCATGTGTTAACATTATTAAAGTAATAAATTGCTAAGAAAGTATCATACACCTTGCATTTCTTAGTGGTGAAAAGGGCATCCCCTGTGGCTGAACTCTATCTGTCAATAAATGATTTGCTGCTCTCTGAAAATCAGTGCCTAAGTGGGAAGCACTAAGCTTGTCCAATGTTGTAACACATCTGTAGAAGTCATGGCACTGTAACAAAAGGAGACATCTTGCATCAACTACATAACTCAAAAAGGAAATAAATCCAAGTGTTAGGTACCTATAATTATGAACTTACTAGTTATAATATTAGCCAAATTGGTTTCATACGAGGAACACATCACGTTATTTATGTCCTGATTATCACATGAGAACATGATTATTGATGTGCAAGTCTCAGAAGCTCCAGGATTTACATTATAGAAAACCCAGTGCCTTGAGAATAAGAATGCATCAATTAGTACACCCAGTTGCCAGTATATAATGACACATCAAATTCATTTCAATGATGCTATTGTACATTGGTATAAAATGAAGGAATCTAAATTGTAGGCCAGTAGTAGAAGGAACAGTAACCAAGCGTGCAAAACATGTTTTCCCTCTCAACTGTGTACAGAAGGAACTGTCATGTCAATAGTCCCTGAAATTAGGCCCCTCATCATCATATCATCTTGAAGTGTCAAAGCTTCATTGATGTCTCCTACTTTATAATACATTCTCAGTAGAAAAATACAGAGAACTTGATCGGGAATAATGCCTTTCCCGAGCATCTCATATAGGAATGCCTTAGCCTGTTGTAGTTGACCACGACGAGAAAAACCCCAAATCAGTGAAGTATAAGCATGCAAGTCTAGCTCCATACCTATTTCAACCATTTTATTTCGCAAATTCAAAGCTTCTTCCGGATTTCCATGCTTCATGTTTCCATTAATCAAAGAAGTGTAAACTAATTTATCTGGACTGATTCCCTTATCCAGCATCTCATTGAACAACTTCTTGGCTTCTTCAACACAATCATTTTTGCAGAGGCCATCAATCAGAGCTGTATATATCATAATATTAGGTTGCAATCCAGTTATAGCCATGTGGTCAAAGTAACTAACAGCCTCTTGAATGAAACCTTTTTTGCATAAACCATCAATTAGTACACCATATGTTACCACTGTTGTCTTGATACCCAATTCTTGCATCTTCTGTAATAGATTAACAGCCTCTGTGGTTTTCCCTATCTTAAAATATGCATCCATAAGGGTTGTATATATATAACTATTTGCAGTCATACCACAATCCATCATTTCGTGAATTACAGCCTCAGAATCTTGTATATTATTTTGTCTGCAAAGGCCCCATATTTTAGTTCCATACAACAATATATCTGGTTTGAGGTTTCTCTTGTTCATTTCCTCTAAGATGTACATGGCATTCTCCATCATATTACCCTTAATATATCCATGAAGAAGAGAAGTACAAATCTGCTGATTAAGAGTCCATCCAGCTTTCAACAATGCTCCAAATAATTCTTCTGCTTCTCTCATTCTTCCATCTTCACAAAGACCATCAAGTAATGCAGTGTAGGTGACAATATTTAAGTTAACACCAGCCTGCTGCATCTCACTTACCAGTTTAAATGCTTCATTGAGATCACCTACTTTACAATTTGCATCAATCAGAGAAGTAAACGTGAACTCATTGGGTCGGAGACCCACACGTATCATGTCAACGAAAAATTTATTTGCTTCCAGTAGCATGCCTGCCTTGCAAAATGCATCAATTATTGTACTATAAGTTACAACATTTGGTTGTAATCGTCTGTGCCTCATCTCATGCAGATAGTTAAAAGCTTGAGGAATTCTTTCAAATCTACAAAAGCAATTAATAAGAGAATTATATGTTATCACGTCTGGTTCACATCCTACATCTTTCATTTCCTCAAATACAATAACTGCTTTGGTTAACAACCCTACCTTTCCATAACCATCAATCAGAGAATTATAAGTGACAATATCCGGCCTAAGACCAATACCTTTCATTTCTTCAAACAAACTCTTAGCAGTTTCTAAGTCCCCTTCTCTGGCCAGACAGCCTATTACTGTATTATATGTAAAAACGGAGGGCGAGAGGCCAGCCACAACCATGTCCTTGAAAAAACTTAATGTCAATCTTCTTTTGTCTGATTTTGAAAGCCTGTGAAGAAGCTCATTACAAGACCTTACTTTTGGCGGAACCCTGAACTTGTTCATCTTCCAAAAGCATTGCCTAGCCTCGTCAAGCATCCCTAAATCCACTAAAACACTAAACAAGGTATCAAACACTCCAAACCCTGGCCTACAAACATTTCTGGTAGACCACATCATATCAAAAAAGTCACAACCCGGAAATTTCCTCCCCAACAGAATCCAGTCCCTAATTACACTTCTGGCATCAAGATAAAACATCCCACAAAACAAAATGTGGGCCAAAACGCAGTAAGACTCCGCCACATGGCGAAACCCGGCTCGCGCCCCTGCCTCCGTGAAGAACTTAAGGGCTAATTTTGGGTCCCCTTTCAGTTTAACCAAAACCTTAGACACCCAAATGGGTGCCAATGCCGACTCAAAAAGGTGGGGACCGTCCTTGTGCAAGAAACTACGCATTGATTCGGAAGCAATGTCATCAAATGAAGGTTTAGAGACAATTGGGTATCTCATAACACACAGAAAGCTGGTGAACCAGATCATGGGGCGAGCAAAAATTGAATTTTGAGAGGAGGGGAATGAAGGAGTGAAGAAAAGGGAAAAAGGATTTTGAAGTGATGAGGAATAGGAGGAGCTTACTCGGACTGAGGCCTTGCCACCTGTGTTGCGCGCAAAAAGCAACATGTTTAGTGAAAAAAACTTGAACTGAATTTCGTTCTTTCATATTGTGTATTGATGTTGACAAAGTATGAAGGATTTCATAGCTAGTGTTGATGGAATAAGAATGAATGAAATAATGCTATTAGGGTTTATGGAAGATACGGGGAAGACCATTCCAGAAATTCCCCTGTTCAGTTTCATTATCAATTTTAATTTACCTTTTTCTTTTCTAGAAAAATAAAGGTGTGAATTAATATTTAGTAAATCCCCATTTCAATTCGTGAAATTGTGAGACTATAACAGTAGTTTTGGAATTGAAAAATGTCAAGAGATATTTAAAACTAAAATTAGTGTGATTTTAATTTCTATGCATATAACTACAATCATTATAATTACTACATTATTTATAGTTAATAAAAGAGTTAATGAAAATAATTGATATAAATAATGAATTCAATTTTAAGTATTTATTTGATATTTTTTTAATTTAGGAATATTTTTTGAGAATGTAAAAAAACAACTAAATCAAGAGTTAAACTTCATGGAGATTAATATTATGAATAAAATACTTTTTTTAATGTAAAATGTTATTTTATTAGTTCTTGAATTTAAATATGAGTAAATTGTGTTTCATATTATTCAAATTCACTTTTTATTATAAATGATTTTTTTTTAAATTAACCAATAAAAATGAAAATGTTGGGACTACATATCATTTGATAAGATAAAACTCAATAAAGATACTTGTCACTTTGAATTTTTAAAGGGAATAGCTGATTTGGATTCATTTTCAACTTAAAAATAAATATTTTGTTTTTGTTGAACAACACCATCATGATGAATCTCATGTGTGTAGCATTTCTCTACTGAGTTATCTAATGCTTAATATGTTGTAATGAAAGTCATAAGCATAAAAAAAACATTAGAGATGTAATTATGAGTATCATACTTCAATTTAATTGTGATTTTACCTCTCTTCAAAATCAAAATATTGATAGTTTTTAAATTTTATAATGAATTCCATTGATTCATATAGAAAATAATTTTCATAATTAAAAATAAACTTTTGTTTGTTCAAATTCTCACTAATATCCTAATACTGATTTCTCACAATATTAACATATCTATTTTTATTTTATAGTCAAACTGTTCAGAAGAAAAATAATTAAAATTACTATTGTGATCAAGAAGAAGGAGTGATCAAAAAGAAGAAGAGAGTATGTAGGAGTTAAAGAAGCACAACCTGATTTTGAAATAAAAGCAAAGACCAGATCTCCTTCATTCAACAGAGCATGATTACTCCCCCTAGGTGTAAGCACCCATGTTATGATGAAGACCAACAACCTCTGTTCTAGCCTCATCTTCCCTCAGAGATATTCCCCTTAGACACCTTGACTCCTTCATTTCGGAGACCAACTTCCTGCTCCCATATTCAAAGATGAATTTTGGAGTTTGTGAGATAGTCAATGAAATTATGTTGTGTTTCTAGCTTTTTCAATTGAAATGTCTCCTTGACCGGCTACAACTGTACTGAATTGGACAGTGGCTTTGCAAAATGTATCAGTTAATTTGTTCTTTCAAGAGGATAAAGATTGATTGGTCAATAGTGCTTTTAATACTGTTTCTGGATTTAGCAGATAACGAATCTTGATCTTCAATCCTTGATTGGTTGTTTAATTTCAAAAATCCTGCAATTAAAAGACTCTGAAACAATTTCCAAGAACAAATTAATTGATTATTTTACCAACTAATCAATTAATTTGATCTGGATATGGCTTAGAAATATAATGACAAAATATTAATCGATTAAAACAACAAAGAATCAATTAATTTTGTACTAATTAATAAATTAACTGATGCAAATCATATTTTAATCGATTAAAACCGAGATCTAGAATATAAGTTGCAAACCTGAGAGCTTTTAATCGATTAATTCGACAAATAATCGATTAAAATTGTATAGACAATTTTTCCAGAATTTTCTGTAAGTGAGAATTTAACCGAATATTTTGATAATTTAATCGATTAAAAGAAAATAATTTTGCTGATTCTAGTATTTTAATCGAGTAAAACTGTTTTATATCAATTAAATCTATCAGTAAAGGAAATTATGTAATGTTTGCCACATATAAAATGCCTAGTTCAGTTATAATCATATAGAAACGATTACTAGCTAAAGGTTTTGTGAAAATATCAGCTGGTAGTCTATATTAGTTTCTAAAGAAAATATTGCACATTTACCATCATCTTCTCCAAGAATTCTGCTATTGATGACAATAATAGTTCCATTACATTTAAGTTTCAAATAATAAAATTTGGAAATATCTTCAATCATGTGACTTGAACAGTCATTGTCTAGGTACAAAACATTCTTCAATTCGCTGATCCTGAAAAAGAATCATGGTTTAAGTTTCAAATAATAAAATTTGGAAATATCTTCAATCATGTGACTTGAACAGTCATTGTCTAGGTACAAAACATTCTTCAATTCGCTGATCCTGAAAAAGAATCATGGTTTTAGTACCCTTTTAAAGATAATAGGGTCCACCTAGGTTATTTGCAATAATTTCTTGGGAACCCATTTCATTCTTCCTTTTGGAATTGCATATTTCTTAATTTTGCAAAATTTCACAGAATGCCCTCTTTTCATATAATAAAAACATGTAATGAATGGCAATGAGACAGGTTTTCTATATGAAAAGTAGTTTTTGAAAGCTCTAGATTTTTTGCCAATGATAGGTGTGAAACCAATACTAGCGCAATCAATAACTAGCTTTTAAGATTTAAGAAGAACATCAAGATTTGTCTTACCTTGTGCAAATTTTGAAACGGTCTTTACCAAATATACAATTTTCTTTTGCAATCCAGGACAATTTTCACAGGGTTTGATTTCTTTACACAAGCAGTCATAACTATTATGAATAATTTTCAAATATTCAGAATCAGTTTTTTCTTCAAGAATTTTCTTTTCGAGAGATTTTATTTATTTTCTAACCAGTTGTTCATACGTTTTAATCTATTGTTTTCTTTCTCAAGTCTCTTCGCTTCTTCATGTTGAACATACAAGGATATGATGCTTAAAGATTTTGATGATGATTCAAGAACAAAGGACTTGAAGTTTTAAAGACTTATAATCATTTGTATCTACTTGTAATAACTCTGTTTTATCTTTTTGAGTTTGTAAAATTAGAGTCCAAGATAACCAGCACATAGTTATTCCTTTGAAAGTTAATTTTTATCAAAACCACTCTGAGATAATCGATTATCCTGCTTGAAATCTATTTTTTGAAAAGCTTGCTGGAATAATTGATTATCTGGCTTGATAATCGATTATCCCAGTTGTTTTTGGTTTTTGAAAACTCTAGAATAATCGATTATCTCAGAGGATAATCGATTATCCTGGTCCAGTTTACTCCTCTGCAAAAATGGCTCTGTGATAATCGATTATCACTTAAGATAATCGATTATCTATGTCTGTTATGATTTTTGAATTTTTTGATGCACATGTTTCCAATACTCCTATTTTAGAAAACTTATATTCCCCATACCCTAAATCTCTCTACATAAGGTTCTCTAAGGCTCTCTGAAATAATAACCTTTTTCATACAAAAGTTAAGAGTTGTAATTGCTAGAGAACTTTGTGTAAGGAAGAAAAATGGGTTTTTGAAAACCTAGTGTGGGCTAGAAGCGTTAAGAATCACTGAGTGGGTTTCTTGGTGGATTGTGTGTTGTGCCGTCTCTAGGAAAAGTTGTTGTTCATCCTTTGTGGATTCAAAGGAGATGTTCATCTCTTGTGTGACTCAAGAGAGGTTTTTATAATCCTTATATTTTGCAATTTGTAATCTGTTGCAAACTGTGATTATAGTGATAGCATTAATCCTCTTTTAGAGTGATTAACAACTAGACGTAGGGTCTTTTGATCCGAACCAGTATAAATCAACTGTGTAATCTTCTTTCCCTTATCTCTTTACTTTACAAGCATTTTAATCGGTAAAATTTGGGAAAATTTAAAAAAACCTTAATTTTTATAACTAAACCAATTCACCCCCCTCTCTTGGTTTTGTCCTACACGCAAACATTCCGTTGCGCGATACCAACAAGTGGTATCATAGCTTGCTTTGATAGTTCTTCAAAAATTTCGAAAAATGGTCGGATAAAATCAAACTTTTGCCGAGTATGCTTCTATCAACAGGCCCCCACTTTTTGCGGGACAAAGTTATCCCTTTTGGAAAATTAGAATGCAAATATTTCTAGAGTCTGTTGACATGGGTGTTTAGGATGTTGTTTTAAATGGTTCTTTTATTCCAAAAATTACTGAAAATGAAATAGAGGTACCTAAACCATTTTCTAGAAATGTCAAAATTTTGAAATCTTTAGACAGAAAATGACAACCAAAAGTGACTACCTTCATGGAGTCACAAAATCTTGTCACTATGTCAATGACTGGCTCTCTTTGGAAAGTTGAGAGAGCATGTGTAACATCTATTATTTCCCAAAAATATTTCATTAATATAATAAAATATTTTGTCATTAACTTTAATAAAATGGTATTATGAGTTATTTTAAGACTTGATAATTTTTAAAGATATTAATAAATAATATATATATATATATATATATATATATTATGAAATTTTCAATAGAGTGAAATAGATAAATTTAGAATTGAGTTTAAAATGAAGTAATAATAATAATAATAAGAGTAATATCATTAAGCAAAATTAGTAATATAATTTCCCATTGATGAAAGGACTTAATTGGTAAGTGAAAAAGTAAGTGAGGGTAATTTTGGAAAGGAGGTTAAATTTAAAGAAGAGAAAGACCAATTTTCTTTCTCACTTACGGAAGCCATTTTGGGAGCACGGGAGGAAGAAGAGAAGCTTGATTTTGCTTGCCCACACCATCTTGGTTCATCCTTTTTGCAATTAAGAGTAAGATCCATGAAATTAAAGCATTGGATTTCAATATTATCTCCTAAAATCTTCTTAATCTCAAATATATGGTCATTTTGATGCTTATAGGAG